CGTCGTGTAATGATTTCAGAGTACGTCAATTTGTTTCATCACCCACGAAATTGCGGTCCAAATCTTCTTTCTTAGAATTCCTTCTCTCGTTCTGGGTGTCTGGGATTTCCGTACAATTTCTTGCGCGTCCGATAAATATGCCACACGCGTCTTGCGGAAGAAATCGCGCCGCGTTGCATGAACGTTAACGTTATACACGCTCGTACGTGGGGCCGACTTTAAATTACAACGAAGCTATTTCAATTTTATCGTCGCAGGCAATTGAATTTACTGTGATAATATGTTTATGTGTACGTTAACATACATATAAACATCTCGCACGATCGCAAATCTTCCCGCAAAAAAAGGAGCATTTTGTTATTTAATGCACGCACTTAAATCATCTTTATCACTGATGTAATGCGTGCTCGCTTGCTTTTTTGCAGTGATAATAAAGCCATAATCGTAAAATACAATATGTTATGTAATATTCTTATATATCTTTCGATAACTGTATATTGATTGTCTCCTCCACAGGGCAGATTATGAATCACATTTCATTGATGTGATCGATGTAATATTTTACCTTGATGTAAAGATACGTTCAAGTGTGTCTAACTATGTCTTTCTTCTTTTTTTTCGCGCAGAAATGATTACATAAGATTGAACAATTTCCGTCTATAATAGACGGGGATTATATATTAGCTAGATTTATAATATTTAATACCTTCGTCAAGTACATAAATCAAATAAAAATGAAACATTACAAATCATGAAAATATCGACATGCGAATTATTTTTAAAATACAGTTGTTAGACTGTTTTGTAAAGGGAGAGGTAATAATTTGTGATATTTCTTACTCGAAATTCGATAATATTTGCTCTCTCGACAATATTTGTCTCTTTTCCTCGCTCTACCTCTTTGTTTATCTGTTTAACACAAAATTATAATGCATAATGGTACGAAGAAATGTAATCGAGCGAAAGATTCTCGCGTAATATAGAGTATCTTTTCTTATTACCTGAAGAAATCTAGCAAAATGTAGGACTTTCAAAAAATTTCTTCATGGAAAAATCAAGATATATTTTTAATACTCAGGACTTCATAACACTCAGGATATATTTTTAAATC